AATTGACACTATAACATATCACTAAGAACAATACTGTTTTTAATGCTTTTTGAAACAAAGTGGATGAGTTGTATTAATTTATCTATAGGGGGTAAATAGTAGACCAAAGATAGAAATCTATCAAATAAGGCCAATGAGGGGAGGTAAAGATAATTCTTCAAATACAAAGGGAAGTGAGGGATAGTTTTTCATACCATGGGTGTAAATGGAAACTAAAACCTCAGAGGAGGTATGGGTATCCACCAATGTTTAACAAAGCAATTTGATAGAATAAGAGATGATTACATCGAAAATAATATATCAACAATATTGGCAATCAGCAAATGCAATTAATTTCTTTTAATCTAATTAGATTATGTGTTAAGTCAAATTTTAATGTGTATGGAAACATGATAAATGTGGGTTACATACATATTCTTCTTTAGATTTGACAAAAGTAGAACGGATAAGAGTAACTCTTTTGTATAAATATTTAGTATAATGACATTTATATCCTAAAAAAAGTATAGTATTACATAAAAACTAATAGGATGAAAGGCAAAGTAAAACTCACAACTATCTTTGAGTGACGATAAAGATTCTTGTGTATATTACTCAAAAGATTCTGAGTTTGAGTCTCTATTTAGTTGCTAATAAGCAAGGGCGGATCTAGCCCTTTTGAGATTGGCCCAGGCCTACCCTCAAGTTTTAAAAAAGAAAAATTATTAATATATATACTCTAAAAATTGCTATTAATATATATACTCAGGCTTACTCCGAATAATAAAAAATGAGAATTATTATACATATATATAACCCACAAAAACTTGTTATTATATAATATTCCAGCCCTTATTATATTAAAAGTTTAAAATTCTCTCTACTCTTCTTCCGATTTCACCACTTTTTATGATTTTATCCTCAAATTATTACTCTCTCATTCTCTCTTTCTCTTCCTCATGCTATTCGACCTTAAACTTTTGAAGACTGAAATTGTTGAAGCTTTCATTACTCAAGGTGTCACAATTAGCTCTGTTTTCTGTTTTATTACTTTTAAGTATGTGTATTGTTCATTATTTATTTAGTTATTTTAGGATTGAATCATGCTCTTTTTTTTTTTTTTTTTTTTTGAGGTTTTTTGTTCTAATTTGAGAGGAAAAGACATAGACCTTGTGAGTTTATTTTGTGTTTTGTGTCTAAAGAATGAACTTACTTTCTCAAATTAAAACCTTAACTATATGTTAAAGGATATCATTCTTCACCATTTACCCACCACTTTCCTACAATTCAAATGTCACGGTTCTGATACTCAAAATAAATAAAGAAATTTGAGTTACTATATATGTTTATATTAAGAAAATTTCCTTCTTTTTTTTTTGCTAATTCATATTAAAAGTCAACACAACGTTGATTTGATTTAAGTTTTGATTGACTTTAATTTAGATTAAGTCTGGTCAAAGTCATGAAATTTTACATTATAATCTTTGGAAGCCAAAAATAAAATTAAAAGAAGGTTTTGCTCAAGATTTATTTAACACATTTACTAAAAAATTTGCTTTCTCATTGATTTATTCAAGTAAGAAAGTACTACGTTATTGCCTTTTGGTTATTTTTTTAAAGTTTTTACTAATTATTTAGCAAACAATGACGGAGCCGTAGAGGCCCCCCTCGACAAAAATCCTGGATCCGCCACTGCTAATAAGGGTAGTCATTGAAGCTTTTTCCAGGTCAATAGTTTCAGGGTCCCAGGAATTAGTTGAGATGCACGTAAGTAAACCTAGACACCCTCAATCATAAAAATAATAATAAAAAAAAAAAGGCTAAAATTTACATCCACTATTATGAGAAAAAGAGTTTATCCACTTTGAGGTTTTGGTCGATTATGGTTTAGAATCATATGATACTAAGATTTATCCGCTTTAAATTTAACAAATGCTTACATAATCCATTAATTATAATGATTTTTATTGTTTACAGACTATAATACCCCTTATTTTGATATCAATAATACTACTCTTTATCCAAAATTCATATCCTAAATGATGTGTCATCATATATATATAGTATTAATATGTAGGTAAAATGATTAGCATTTAATGATATAACAATGCTCATATAATGACACATCATTTGTAATGTAAAATTTGAGATAAATATTTGGGATGAGTAATATTTATTCTTTTAATATTGTCTCAAGTTTAATAGCTCAAATTCTGTCCCCAGCTGTCCATTTCTACTTAACATTTGTTACAATCAGGGGATATATCATAGTACTTTGGACTGGTAGACTTAGAAAACGAACCTAATCTCCAGGGGATAAATACTATTAACTCTCACTATTCCAACTTTTTAGATGACAGTCTTTTGGGTCCAAATCATGACCTCACCACTTGGATGCTTACTTTTTTATATTATAAGTCCAAAACACAAATACAACATTTCTAATGCCTAAAACATGTTTTGTGTTCAAAACCATCAACTCAAACATTAACTTACGTGTTTCACTGTCTATACTGGATCTTCTTCAAACATTCCAGAAGTAGAAATCTAAAGCTATCTAAATGTCTAGATTTAACTTTTTCTTTATTTATTCTGCTCTTCAAATTTTATCACATTGCTATTATAAAGAAAGTAAGTTGATCAGTTCAAATGATTTGGGTAATTATGACAAAGTTGTTAAAAATTCTAACCTGAAAAAGTGCTTAAACAACTTATTTTCCCTTTCATGAAATTTCCTGTGAAGTTTCATCTTATTTATAATATTACATCTCACTAAACCAGCATATTAATCACATTAAACTCAAAAGTTATTACGTTCTGAGCCCAAAACAGTCCTCATTGCAATATAAATATATATTTGCTATATGTCTGGGCGCGCACGTAAAATAAGATAATGGTGAAGAAACCGAGTAGCCAATATGTATTTCATGGCCATTAATGAAGATGAGGTAACTACTTCTAACTCATCTCTTCAATTTGATGATATTGACAGTACAACAAAGTGACTTAATGACCACATTAATTTAACCACATAAACTATATACATGTGATAAAAAAAATCATTCCACCACTTGAAATTTGTTTATGGTTGAAATATAATAATTGATATATTTACCACACATAAAAGTAAATAGTAAATAAAATTGGTAGCAACCACATCCATTGGTGTGTATGTGGTAAATGTGTTTTTTTTTTTTTTTACTAAACCCTAACAATTGCATGTGGTTAATAGCCACTTAAATACCACTACTACTTGTAAGTGGTTAAAATTTATTTAAGCACCACTTCTGTTTCAAGAGGTTGAAATAAAAATTGATATTTTTATTAAACCACTCACTGTCGTTAATGGTCACTTAAAATACCAATAATACTTACAAGTAGTTCAAATTTATTTAAATAGCACTTTCATGTAAAGTGGTTGAAATTCATGAAATAAGTGGTGATTTTTTTTTTTTTCACCACTTATATTGTTAGTGGTGGAAGATTAATAAATATTTGCGAGAGAATGACCACTAATTGGTTTTCTTATTCTCGCACCCTAAAAATTATAAAACTAGGGTTGTTAAAAAAAATCTGTAAATTGAACCAAATCAAAAAATCGGTTTTCTGATGAAACTGGTTCGGTTTTAGTTCAAGAATTTCTCTTAACCTATTTTTCGATTTGATTATCGGTTTAGTGGATTTTGAGAACCGATTAACAAGTTTTTAGGAACCCGTTAATCTAAAAAGTGGTTCAGTTCAAAATCGGTTTTCTCCTAGAACCGGTTTTGTTCCAGTTCAAAAAAAGAGGTATTTGAACCGGTTAACTAGTTTTAAACACCCTTATATAAAACACTAACAAAATGATCTTCACTCATTCACTTGAATGAAAATCGTATTTCACATTTTTTTAATCTCTTTGAAAGAGAAATCATTCCAAAATTTGTTCCAACAACAATAGGCTGCCCCTTAGGCCTGGGAAGGCCAGGGCCACCCCAAAATTTATAAAAAAAATTTAGATTCAAATGTAATTAAGTATATTTTTAAAAAGAAAAAGGAAAATGAAGTTTAACACAATGTATTTTGAGTATGAAAAATTATAAACAAAAAAGGAGAATTAAAATTTTGGCATAAATATAAAAACATTTTGAAAATCAAGGGTGCCAATCCTCAACAATGGTTATCAATGATTAATTTCTATAAACTTTCGGAGGTATTTGATTAAGTCATGGATAATTGGCATATTAGTGATTATTTAGCAAAGATCACAGAGGTAATTAATTATTGGCCCTTTTAAGTGTATGAGAACCATTTCTTTTTTCTCCTTTTTTACATGTCCTAATAAGATTGGGTTTTTGGACACTCATGATCCAACCGGTTGGGTGACAACCCACAGGTCCCTAACCCAACGGGTTGTCATGAACCTTTACCTCAGAATTTTTAAAAGGAGAAATAATTTTTAACTCATCAAATTGATCAGTATCTCTCACTTTTAAACTTTTTTTTTTTTTACAGTTTAACCTTAATGACATTATATTTCTAAATACACTCATTTATTCTATATTTTAATTTTTAATTCTTGCCTAAACCTAAATCAAAAAATTTTGATCATTAAAAAAAAAAATTTTAAATATTTTTTTGACGGAAAATATTACTAAAGGTATAAAGAAAGTAATATAATAGAGTATACTTATAATGGAGGATTGTGACCAATTCGAAGGGGATGGAGGCCTAAAAGAATTGGGTGTATAAAATGTTTGAGTAATTTAGGTTTACAAAAAGACATACAAAGAGTCAAATCTAATCTTTGAAATTCATGATTGTCTTTTTTTTTTTTTTTCTTCTAAAGGTTAGATTTAACTTTATATATAACTCTTATATGACTTAAAATGTTTTATGGAGTGAAAATAGACTAAAAAATAAAAATAATTAATGGACAATGAAACCCCATGAGCCGTGAGATCCCGAGAAATGAAAGGTGAAAAATTAAAGTGTACCCTTTGTTTTTCAATTTTGCAAAAGCCATCCAATTGATTTATGGAACAGGTCGCAGCAGGCTGCAACAGCTATGGCGTTTCATGTGATTCTCCTACAATTTTGGCTACCATGTTTCACACACTCCAGAATAATTTTCCATCATTCATATTTAAGTTGCAGCAGCAGCTTATAACAATAACCCCTGAAAACTCTTTGATCATGAATTACATATTCTCAGTTTCAAGCAACGTTCAAACACTCCATTAACTCAACTGTAATGTTTCTCTTTCGGTCTTTCTCTTCATCTTCTTTTCTTTTGACTTCATATAGCAGACTTTCCAAATCAGTTTCTCTTCAAACTCTGTTCAAAAGAGGCTTCAGTCCCACTCTCCAATCCATCAATAAATTCCTTATCTTTCTCTCTCGAACCCAAAGATTCAATTCAATCATTCACTTTATTTCCCAAATGAACTCAAACCAAATCAAGGGTAATTCCCAAACTCACTCAATCTTCACCTGGGCTCTCCTCAAATTACACAAATTTGAAGAAGCTGAGGATTTTATGAATTCCCAGATGGGAAAGACTTCATTTTCCCCAAACAGTCGCTTGTTTGATTTATTAATTCAAGGGTTTTGTGTCAAAAGGAACGACCCAGTAAGAGCATTATTGGTGTTAAAGAGTTGTTTGAGGAATTATGGTACATTTCCTTCTTCTTTTACTTTTTGTTCGTTGATATATAGCTTTAGCTATTTAGGTTATATGAATAGAGCGGTCGAGGTGTTGGAGTTGATGACTGATCAGAATGTTAAATACCCTTTTGATAATTTTGTTTGTAGTTCTGTAATATCAGGGTTTTGTAAGATTGGAAAACCTGAGCTTGCTATAGGGTTTTTCGAGAATGCTACAGGTTTAGGAGCTTTAAGGCCGAATGTTGTGAGTTTTACTGCACTTTTAAGTGCCCTTTGCATGTTGGGTAGAGTTAATGAGGTTAATGATTTGGTTATTAGGATGGAAAATGAAGGTTTGATATTTGATGTTATTTTTTACAGTAGTTGGATTTACGGGTGCTTGAGGGATGGGAGTTTGTTAGAGGCGCTCCGTAAACATAGGCAAATGATAGAACGAGGAATAAAAATGGATGTTATTAGCTATACCATACTTATAGATGGGTTTTCAAAAGAAGGGCAAGTGGAAAAGGCAGTTGGGATTTTAAACAAGATGATAAAAGATGGGTTGAGACCTAATTTAATTACTTATACTGCAATCATCTTGGGGTTCTGTAAGAAAGGGAAATTAGAAGAAGCATTCAATGTGTTTAAGAAAGTTGAAGATATAGGAATTGTGGCAGATGAATTTATTTATGCAACTTTGATCGATGGGGTTTGTAGGAGAGGTGATTTAGATTATGTTTTTCATCTGCTGGAAGAGATGGAGAGGAAGGGGATTAAGCCAACTATTGTTACTTACAATACTATTATCAATGGATTGTGTAAAGTTGGGAGGACATCTGAGGCAGATGAGGTCTCAAAAGGGATTCTTGGAGATGTTGTCACGTATAGTACACTGCTACATGGGTACATTGAAGAAGGCAACATGAAAGGGACTATAGAAACAAAACGGAGATTGGAAGAATTGGGGATTCAGATGGATGTTGTCATGTGTAACATTCTTATTAAAGCACTGTTTATGGTGGGTGCACTGGAGGATGCTCATGCACTTTACCAGGCCATGTCAGAAATGGATTTGGTTGCAAATTCTGTTACCTATTGTACAATGATTGATGGCTATTGTAAATTGGGGAGAATTGAGGAGGCACTTGAGATATTTGATGAATTTAGAGGGACATCAAATTCTTCAGTTGCATGCTACAATTGTATTATTAACGGGCTATGCAAGAAGGGAATGGTGGATTTGGCCACTGAAGTGTTAATTGAACTTGATGAGAAAGGATTGGGTTGTGATGTAGGTATCGTCAAGACATTGGTTGAGGCAGCTGTTACTAAAGAAGGCGTGGATAGAGTTCTTAACTTAGTTTACAAGATTGAGAATTTGGGTTCACAATTATATGACATAATGTGTAGTACCATAATATCTTTCTTATGCAAGAAAGGTTATTCGGAGGTTGCAAGTAAAGTGTGCATGATAATGAGGAGGCAAGGTTCAGTTGTAACAAGCAAATCTTACTGTTCTATATTGAAGGGCCTTACTGTTGATGGAAAAAGATCGCTGATTGGGCCTATGTTGAATATATTTCTAAAAGAATATGGCCATGTTGAACCTTCAGTGATCAAGATGCTAATACATTACTTGTGTCTGAATGATGTGAAAAGTGCTCTTTGGTTTATCAAAAAGATGAAAGGTAATGCCTCAACTGTCACTTTTTCTGTTTCTGTTCTCAAGGAACTTATCAAGGATGGCAGAGTCTTGGATGCATATAAACTTGTCATGGGAGCTGAAGATAATCTACCCTATATGGATGTATTTGATTACTCGCTCATGGTTGGTAGCCTCTGCAAGGAAGGGTATCTCAGTAAGGCCTTAGATTTCTGTGCCTTTATGAGAAATAGGGGGATTGCTCCTAATATTGTAACTTATAATTCACTTATGAACACCTTGTGCCGCCAAGGATGTCTTGTTGAAGCATTTCGGCTATTTGATTCATTAGAAAAGATTCATTTGGCTCCCTCTGAAGTCACATATGCCACACTGATTGACAATTTATGTAAAGAAGGATTTTTGTTAGATGCCAAGCAATTGTTGGAGAGGATGGTGCTCAAGGGCTTTAATCCAAGTACACGCATTTATAACTTCCTCATTGATGGTTATTGCAAGCTTGGTCGAATGGAGGAAGCCTCGAAATTTTTGCATGATTTGGAAACTACATGTCTTAAGCCTGACGAATTCACTGTTAGTGCAGTAATTAATGGCTTTTGCCTGAAGGGTGACATGGAAGGGGCTCTTGGACAATTTTTTAAGTTCAAGAGGCAAGGTATATTACCTGATTTCTTGGGTTTTTTGTATTTGATAAGGGGACTATGCACCAAGGGAAGAATGGAAGAGTCCAGGAGCATCCTGAGAGAAATGCTTCAGTCAAAATCTGTTCTGGAGCTAATAAATGGAGTTGATTCTGAGGTTGAATCGGAGTCTGTAGTAAGCTTTCTGTTCTCTTTATGTGAGCAAGGGAGTATAAGAGAAGCTATATCTATCCTTGATGAAATTGGATCTATACTTTTTCCTGTTCGAAGTTTTAGTACTGATTATGGATCACGAACATCAAACAAGCTTTACAAATGTGAAGCTTTCACATCATCCAGTAAGCAGAATGATTCAGAGATGGTAGAAAACTCCTATAATGTGGGGAAAATATCTCAATCACTTGATTTTGACTTTTGCTACTCCCAAATAGCTTCGCTCTGTTCAAAAGGGGAGCTGCAGAAGGCAAATGGTGTACTGAAAGAAATGCTCTCGAGATCGAATACAGATTCTTAGTCAATGTGAAGCGCTAATGCCTACTGCTACAAAATATCGAGCTTCTTCCGCTTCAGCATCTGAAAAGAAGCCTTGGAATGACATCCTGCTGGTAAATATATACTTGTATTCTTGCCTTGTTCATTTTATGCATGTTGTTGAGGAGATATAGGAATAAGTATGCTGCTATGAAACTAATCACATAAAACGTCTTTTAAAATAAATTGTCCTCTCTGATAAGTTTCTGAGTGACATAATACTTGGTCTTGCTCATGCTTGGGTTCAGACTGCTCTAGGCTCTTTTATGATGGTTGTTAGCCTTGGTTTATGGGTCAAGTTAACAGTAGAAACTATCCTTAGTCAGATTGCTCAAAGCAATTTTATCAGGCTAAAGGGTGCCACCATCCTGCCCATATCCTAATATTTCTCTGCAGAAAAAGGTTTAATAGATAATTAATTTTGAATTGAATGCTTCTTTAAGGATCACTGTATATTATTGCTGTAATAAGGATATGTGTAACCCTTTCAAATACTGTATCTCATTAATTATATGAATATACCTAATCATATTCTACCAGGTGCTTCGCTTATTTTATCAATATAAGCTTTCTTTAACAGGTATTTCTTTCCCTTCTCTAGCTGGTTTGTTTAGACGGGAAATTCTAATATTTCAAGCTTTCTTTGACTGCTTATGTGGACTGTCTTTTTTCTTCGTTGATTGTTTGTTGTCCTAACTAAAGAATTAATTATATTTTTTAAGGGAAATTTGACACCAGATTACTGTAATCTTCATAACACTTAAATCTTAATTTTGGAAGAAATGGTTATTTTAAAACTATCCACTTGGGATTTTTTCCTGACTACTAAAATTTTAGGGTCAGGTAGTAGTCCCCAGTTTAGAACTCTGAGCACTTGAAAATTATCAAGGGATTTTTGGGTATCCAACAACTTTCAGGGGGTTGAAACACTATCCATAATGCCTAAAGTATTTTGTTTGTTAAATTGTGATACTGCTTGTATTTTTCTCTCCCTTTTCATTATTTTTCTAGATCAGCAGGTTATTATTTTAGGGCCTATTAGAGGTCCCTGGGTTCAGTTGATTGATCCATATTAAAATATTTTGCTCTTTTTTTTAAACCAGCTTTCCCGCGTTCCCACCTTCATCATTCCTGCACCTGAATTGATCATCAAGATTTCTTGTTTTATTATAGGGATTCTACACGAGGACTGCTTGGAAAGTTATCTATCCTAGTATGCTCCCAAACAAGCGCTTAACTGCGGAGTTCTAATGGGAATAACTGCTTTAGTACTGGTATGGCTGCTTCCGAATTTTCTCATGTCAGCATTCATTCTGCTTGTTCTGTGTATTTTAAACTTTATTTTGATGCTAGAGTATGTTTAATTCAAACTTAAAGTGGGGATGTCTTGTTTTAAACTATTTGTGCACGTAGACTTGCTGAAGTAAAAGTAAAAGTAAATTGTATTATAAGTTCAAGTTTACATAGTGTTACAGTTGGAAAACAAAGAATTCTGCTAAAAGTATGCACCATAGAGTTCCAAGCACACACAAAGTTGAAAAACAATTGATTTTCATGTTGAACAGCATGTGATACTACAAATTTGAAGTTTCTGGCATGGTAATAGATAAGGTGTTAATATAAACTTAATTCTAATCTGACAATCTTTATAAGATACTTCAAAGTTCTTTGAATGGTTAATTAATTCTTACAAATGGTAAATACGTAGCAGTAAACTACTAAACTCATTATAAAAGGTAGCTACTGCAACTTCAAAGTAATAAAACTTTTGAGGTTAATTTATGGCTTCCCTTATTTTTTAAGTTGGCAAGCTGTTCTCAACTACTGACAATAAATTTTTTAGATCTAATTGAAATAGCTCGAAATTTAAAACGGACTAAGATTAATGTATAAATTTAGTGGAAAAAACCAGGAATAATTACCAAAAATACATAGGTCAGGCTAATGTCAACTTGAATTTTGGTCAAAAAATGGTGACATAATTTTTTAACCTTGGATTTGTTGTAATCCAATGGTTGTGAAAGAGAAATTAAAGGTAGTTATTTCATAACTGCTCATAAATTGTAATCAAACAATTTAAAAGATAATGAAGTGACACATGAAATAGCTAGCTTTAACTTCTCTTTTGGAACCATTGGACTATAAGAAATCAAAGTTTAAAAAATTGTGACACCATTTTAAGTCAAAATATTAAGTTGATATAGCCTATTGTAAAAATTCTTTGGTGCAAACGCCCACGTTCTTTTTCAACCTGAACCAGCGGTTATATTGCTGGTTAATGTTAGACAACCAATTTAGGCAGAAAATTTTCACATTAAGAATTGCAAAACTCTTCTCTCTCTCTCTCTCTCTCTCTATCTCTCTAACATTAAAAATTCTTTATATGCATTTATAGAGGCACCAGTCATATCACTCTATCTTCTCATCGACACTTTCTCCTCCGCTCTCTCACTCATTACAGTAAACTGTAGGGTGCTCTCTATGTTTATCTCACTTTTACTCTTAATGTTTTCTCTTTTAAAAGCCATTAGAACTTGAAATCACAAAATTATTAGAAATCAAATCTGATTCTTGATATTCATATCTGTCTCTGTGTGAGGTGAATGCATACTCGCTCTCTCTTGAACTAAACCTCAAAATTGCAAAGTAAAAAACTCTCCCAAACGGTTGAAACTTTCTTTGCCAATCATGTTTTCAAGAGATGGTTCTACAAATTTTTCTGAATTCGATCAAAAGAGTTCCCAAGAGATGGTTATGCAAATTTTTTCGATCTTTAAATAGAAAAGTTTCAAGGTCTGCAATTGTTTTTTTTTTTCAATTATTATTATTATTATTATTTTTGTTTAGACAGAGAGTTTTAATCGTTTTGGAGAGTTTCTTTTTTTACGATGTTGAGATTTGGTTCAAAAGAGAGAAAATTTCCATTCATGTAATACATAAATAGTTAAAGAGTTTCATTCTAAAGAGAAAACTGATTGAGAGTAACTAGGATTAGAATTTTTAGTTGTTTTAAAGCAGATTGAGATGATTGAAGGAGAGAGCTCTTGACAATTTATTGTAACGGGGGAGGGAGAGAGAGAAGGGGAGAAAAAGTATCACTGTGAAGATGGAGATGATGGGACTGGGGCTTACAATTAATGCATGTTAGAAGATTTACATTTTATTGTGGACTGGATATGAATTTTACAAAAACTCTTAACCATTTCTTTAATTTGCCAGCAAGGATATAAGGTGTCGTTAAGACTTAAGATCGTAAAATTTAGTAATCCACATTACTATAGAAAGAATTTCTTTCTATATACTACCATATTTATGTTGTGTTGGTGATAAGGACCTGGATTCTTAACACTCAACACAACCCAAACAGAATACAATGTACCCAAACAATGCAATATTCCAACACAGATCAGAGATAATTGAGAAAACACTAATATGAATATACCTCTAGATTGATTGATACAGAAATGGATAACAACAATAATGAAGAACAATTAAGAAAACAGTACTGAATGTAAAGATAACCTAGCAATTCGAGGAGCTAAGGGCCTCCCTTCCAATATCCCACTAAAATATTCGTTGCCCTTTACAATTCCTATCCCTCAATTTTTACTCACAAACGTCACACCAATTCCATTGTAATTGCCACGTGGATAACCAACTCCCACTTGCACACCATGCCATTTGCCCTTATTATTTCTTTTGTAAATTTGAGTTGGATGAGTTGGGGTCTTATCAATACCCTCCCCTTGAAGAACCACCTTGTCCTCAAGGTGGGGAGAGGGGAATTTTGCTGTAATTGAGGTATCCTTAAAGTCAGCTATTATGATAATGGCTATCAATAACCTTGCAATAACAATGGTGATCTCAAGTTGGATATGCCTTTAGATATTATCGTAAGCACATCTTCCACAGCCAAAATGGTAACCAAGGAACTGAAATCGCCATCCAAAATGATAATTTCCGAACTCTCTCTGGCCATTTAACTCCAAGTGCCCATAGCAATCCCCTCGTTAGTTTCGTTTAGTGCTGGAGTCTTATTTGTTTTGACTCCAACCATTGCCACCATGTGGCCTTCCTGCTTCAAACACTGAATGAGAAGGCGCTGGTCAGCAGAGGGGAAGTGTTCAATCACAAAAATTTGCTTAAAAGTCTCCTTTTCTGCTCCCAACTTCAATGTAGCCCAGGAAAGGAGCCAATCCTCATTTGAACTACCAAGACCCTGTGGCATTATAAACGGTACGCTGATTCCTTTGCGTAGAGTGTCAATAACATGCTCATCTAGTGTCGGATTCAAGAGCCAATCCTCATTTGAACTCCTAGGACCTTGTGGCATTATAAACGGTGTGCTAATTCCTTTGCATAGAGTGTCAATAACATGCTCATCTAGTGTCGGATTCTTATTGATAAGTGCTTCGCCAATCCAAACTTCCTTACCACTTGATCTGATGATAAACTTCTTGATAGACTTCATTAATTCCTTGCTCGAAGTTTTGTCTTTAATGTCTGGCATCCCAGGATAATGCTTTTCCTTGTCAAGTTGAGCTGGTAATGGGGTCTGGCTGGAAGCGATAATAACCTGGTTCATTGTCTTCCCCCATGTTGTGTTCTTACCTACAAACGTTGTGAGCATGCGACCATCCCCTTTAATCACCTTTGCACCGTAGAAGAGGAAAGGGTTTTGTTCATCAATGGTTGCTAAACCATCACCCAACTTCAAGGATTCACCCGATATAAACAAGTCATCAAAACGTACATGGTATCCCCGTGTTAAGCACATTATGACACCGATATTTCCCCCTTTAAGTACATTGATTTCTGTCGTTTGCAGGAAAGGAGTTGTTCGCTGTGGATAGAAGTTGTGATCGTCCGGTGGATTTGGTGTGGTACTCGGGCTTTGATAACTAGAGGCTATCGCTGCACCAGATAGTGCCTCTTCCCAAGTTCGATGCGCCGACAAAGAGTTGTCGGAATATCTCGACTGATCGATGAAGGGAAATGGCTTGGAGTTATTTGCAATCTGATTTAAATTTGATTGGACCCTTGACCTGTTTTCCATTGACCCAGTTTCTCTACCGGGCCCAGCTACATTAAAATCTTTGCCCAGTCCATTATCATATTGCTCAAGTCCACACTCAATTGTATTTGCTATTCCCTGTTTACCCAGCCCAACTGAAATAATTCCTCTATTAAACCCATACAGCCCAACTGGTTTAACAGCTCTATTAAGCCCAAACTTCATTACTTCTAAAGCCCAATTGTTCTCCTCTATTTTCTGGGCTAACTCCATTAATTGAATTAATGAATTGGGTTGGCCCAATTTGACTTTAGCTTTTATCTCTGGTCTAAGCCCGTTTAAGAAGGCAGCCCATAATATGTCTTCTTTCTCTTTATGCCATGGAGCATATAGAGCTTCAAACTTCTGGCGATATTCTTCCACTGTACCAGTCTGTCGGATTCCCATCAGTGCATCATACGATCCTTCTTCCTGTGAGCCACTGAACCGATGAAGCAAGGCAAGTTTAAAGGCGTCCCATGTCGTCACTAGAGCTCGCACCTCCATCCCCTGGAACAAATTGATCGTGTCACCCTCCATGCAAACGGCCACGGTGACCAACCTCTCATTCTCGGCGATTCTGTACACATTGAAATAACGCTCAATCCTAAACAACCACCCATAAGGATCTTTCCCCGCGAAGAGCGGCATCTCCAATTTTCTGCTGCTAATTTCTTGCCGCAGTCTCTTGGTGTTCATCGTTCCTCCATTAACATCTTCCTGGTTTGGTCCTTGATTTCCTGGGATTTTTGTCGACCCATTTCCCTCACCCCTTCTTGCTTCTTCTTCATCTTTACACCTCATCTAGGCTAGCATTTCCCTTAAGCACTCTTTGATCATTCCCAAATCTTCCTTCATCGATCCAATTTCTTTCTCCATTTTCGTTTTTACCATTCCCCAACCTTAGCTCTAATACCAATTGATAGGAACCTGGATTCTTAACACTCAACACAACCCAAACAGAATACAATATACCCAAATAGTGCAATATTCCAACACAGATCAGAGATAATTGAGAAAGCACTAATATGAATATACCTCTATATTGATTGATACAGAAATGGATAACAACAATAATGAAGAACAATTAAGAAAACAGTACTAAATGTAAAGATAACCTAGCAATTCGAGGAGCTACGGGCCTCCTTTCCAATATCCCACTAAAATATTCTCTGCCCTTTACAATTCCTATCCCTCAATTTATACTCACAAACGTTACACCAATTCCATTGTAATTGCCACGTGGATAACCAACTCCCACTTGCACACCATGCCATTTGCCCTTATTATTCCTTTTGTAAATTTGAGTTGGATGAGTTGGGGTCTTATCAGTTGGTTTCAAACCCCAGAAGTAAATCTTATTGACTTCTCTTTATTATCTTTGTTTATATATGCCTCCACATCCCAACTCTGAAGCATCAGTCTCCACAATACTTGGAGCGGATGGATGTGGAATGTTAGAGGCAGATAGTTCTTAGGCCTTTAGCTTGAATTTTCGAACTGCTTCTGTGCATTTATCATTCCAATCTGGAGGGTTTTTCTTTAGCCTTTCAAATATAGGTTTAGCGTCAAAAGAAGGATTTTAAGGAAATCTTCAATTTCAGACTTCATAAAGTGTTTGCAATCATTTCTTGTCCCTTATTTTGTCGGGAAATTCCACTAGTAGGGTATAGGAATGTACCCCCTTTAATCTGTTTATGGGGGAACTTGTCACTCACTTCCTATTATGCTCTTTTCCCCTCCCCTTTTGTGTGCTATGGGTGAAGAGCCAGCGGTAAGTTCATTTTCTTCCACTATATATACACACAATTGTTTAAAAAGTATCTGCAAAGAATAAATATCAGTGGAGGGAAAACAATTTTATACCCATCTGGAAACTGCAATAAGTAATTTTCTTTTCCCTTACAAAAGTTTTGGAAATGCTTTGATGCTTGACAAAACTAGTCAAAATTTACTACCGTTCTTTAAAAATCTTTTCTCTGTTAGTCTATTAATTTCCTTTCTGTTACTCCTGAATGCAACCTTTTATCTTTTGGCTTAAATATACAGGGTATAACGCTACTCAAAGACTAACCTGAATTTGTGTAATCTGACCAAAAGGAAAAAAGTATTACTATAGCCTGAACAGCCCTAAGAACACAACTCGAGTCAACCTACAATTCATAGCTAATTTAGATAAATATAGAAACAATAAGTATCTTGAAAGTCTTTAGAGACAAAAAGTCATGGAAAGGTTAATAATATGATTTTATGTCATGAAATATTGGGTTGTCCACTTTTTTCAAAAATTCTTTTATTTCTTTCACGCTAAATGAAGAAGCTTTAGTTATCATCTGGGGATCATGTTTTCCCAGTTGACTTTGAACTAGCCAGCATGAACACCCTCACAAGCAGAGAATTCAACTGATCAACCTGTATTGACACTATAGTTTCTGTATATTTGGCCGTCGCATTTAAAGATTAGTGGTCAACAGTAAATTAACACATCACCTAATAACCCAACTTAGATGAACTAGATAACCAAAACACCCTAAATGGACCACAAAAAGTAAATTTCTGAACCTACATTAAAAAAATAGGCATAAGTCTTTAGGTACTGAAACTTACAATTTCATACAAATTAACAACAAATTTTATTCCCATGCTGCTTCTTAAGAATTTGAGAGTGGTGCAGGCTTTGGCATCAATGATTCCTTTGGTGAAGGATATATTGGCAAGACTGTCACAATTCTTTCAGCAGGTGCTTGAACCATTAATTAATTTTTTTGAACTATTGATTTACTCTTTATTTTATTTTATTTTTTTTTTTTTTTTTGGAGTTTTGACTTATATGCTTTGAACAACTGTCAGGACTTCAGGTTGTTTCCTTGATGACCATTGTTATTAACTAGTTGAGTCAACTAGTGGAGATTTGCCACATGCATACTGTCACATTTGTCATCGTTTTTATTGGCGCTTAATTCAAAAGGTATGATTCCCGTCTTACCATATCTTGATTAGTGAACTGTAAAAAGATCCTTTTCGATTCTTTTATTGAATTTGTGCTCATTGCTTTTAGCTCTTGATATTGCAATAAGTGACTTGCATGAGGGAGGGATAAATTAATTGGCTCAAAATAGTTCCTTAAGTTTGGTTGGATAATGCATTTCTTTTTGAAACTATGACATGATATTGTTTTGCATTCTCCAGCACCACCCTCCCCTTTAATAACAATAACATTATTTTAATTATTTATTTATTCTTTGTTTTCTTTCCTGTGGAAATATTTATCACCCATTTTGTTTTGATGCTGGTCTGCTGCAGTCAATTCTTGTTAAAGCTTTAATCCTGCTCTGACCTAAGTTTAATTTGAGCGCATTTTGCTTTCATTAAGATTAATAAGAACTTCTGTACTGGCAGTTTTTTTATAAGGGGAACATTGGGCTTTAGCTTACTAGGATTAGTTTCTGGAGCCAGATTGGGATTTTTTAACCATTGCCAATTAAGAGCAATTATTTAGGCATAGGGATTCGGCTTTATTGAAAATTGGCTTAAATGTTCATGGCTCCAAATTTTATTAGAAACCCTTGAAATTTTTAGAAATATCTATATACATTTCATGAAATCATTAATAATTGTNGAGTTTTGACTTATATGCTTTGAACAACTGTCAGGACTTCAGGTTGTTTCCTTGATGACCATTGTTATTAACTAGTTGAGTCAACTAGTGGAGATTTGCCACATGCATACTGTCACATTTGTCATCGTTTTTATTGGCGCTTAATTCAAAAGGTATGATTCCCGTCTTACCATATCTTGATTAGTGAACTGTAAAAAGATCCTTTTCGATTCTTTTATTGAATTTGTGCTCATTGCTTTTAGCTCTTGATATTGCAATAAGTGACTTGCATGAGGGAGGGATAAATTAATTGGCTCAAAATAGTTCCTTAAGTTTGGTTGGATAATGCATTTCTTTTTGAAACTATGACATGATATTGTTTTGCATTCTCCAGCACCACCCTCCCCTTTAATAACAATAACATTATTTTAATTATTTATTTATTCTTTGTTTTCTTTCCTGTGGAAATATTTATCACCCATTTTGTTTTGATGCTGGTCTGCTGCAGTCAATTCTTGTTAAAGCTTTAATCCTGCTCTGACCTAAGTTTAATTTGAGCGCATTTTGCTTTCATTAAGATTAATAAGAACTTCTGTACTGGCAGTTTTTTTATAAGGGGAACATTGGGCTTTAGCTTACTAGGATTAGTTTCTGGAGCCAGATTGGGATTTTTTAACCATTGCCAATTAAGAGCAATTATTTAGGCATAGGGATTCGGCTTTATTGAAAATTGGCTTAAATGTTCATGACTCCAAATTTTATTAGAAACCTCCCTTGAAATTTTTAGAAATATCTATATACATTTCATGAAATCATTAATAATGATGTAGGGAAACATTTGGGATGGAAGTGCTTCAAGTTTTTCTTTTGAAAATCTGTAGTATATACATATGTAAAACAATAAAAGAAGGTCACAAGACACTTATATAAGAAAAGAGAAAATAAGAACATAGGAAATCAAATTTTAGTTTGGCTTTCGAAATTGAAACTGCATGGAATTTGCAGCAATATGTTTCTGTTAGTGAATATTATTGTTTCCTTTTGAGTGAAGATGGATTCCCCAGAGGGAAATGCTGAATGTTTGAATAGCTGATCTTGATGAAGTTAATGATCTGAGATTCTAATTTTTGATGGAAATAGCTTATAAGAGACTTGGTTTTTAATTTTAGATGTAAAACAGTTTTAGAAAAGTTTCATTGACCTCTAGTATTTGCCTAAAATGCAGACAGATCTCACTAGATTTGGAACATCCTTTACGGAAAAGGTTTTGGTTTAATTTGAAATAAGAGTGTGCCTGCTACTGTGCTTATATTTCTTCAAGGAAACTTGATAAACTGTTTTGCTTTGAAGCCCGCAACTTAAAGTTTTATGGTTATTATTTGATTGTTACTTGATTGCAAATAAATGAAAATGTCAATGGGAGATTTGATCCTAGTGGATGTAACTTTGTTAAAGTTGTCTTATAACATATTTAATAAAGTATTACAAAGAAGTTTTTTATTCTTGAAAATAAGTTGAAATGTTTTAGGAAATAATACATAGTACTATTATGTTTGATGTAATCATGTGCTAAGCATGATTACATAGATTGATATGATAGGTTCAATTTATATATTAAATTTGATTTAATACATAAAAATATAATTTACTTAAATAATTCATATTTATTAGTTAATTACCATTTTGACGAGCAACGATTTTTGATAGGGAAGGTGTAGATGAAGTATAAAGGGAGAATAAATTAAAGGAGATACAAACTATGTTCAAACTGAATTTGTTTTTGATTCTTTTTAAAAATTAGGTTCTTTTTTGACAGCATTTTAAAAGAATTTAAAAAAAAAAAAGAAAAAAAAAAAGGCTGTTGTATTTGTGTTCCATGTTTGGTGGACTAACATAATCATTCTTAGATTTTTATAAGAAAACCGGATTAAATGTGAGTAATGTCAAATATAGGGGAACTTTTTGTATGTCCCATTTAATTAGTGATCACTATTATGTTAATAGGTAATTTAGTGTGTCTAAACTTAGTTGCATAATTTTGTTTAAGTGTGACCTATATATATGTGTTTATTGTTCTAGGCTCATAATGGGACGGATCAATTTTGTATTACATAAGTGAGTCTCTACTCTCACCCTTTATATATAAATGGTTGGCCCATTAAACCATTTGTAATGTTGGAACCAAAGGGTAGAGAGTAGTTATCTCTCTCTCACAACTAACACTCCACCACCATTTTCGATCTTTACTCCAACGACAGTAGCAAGAATCAAAAGGTTCCAATTAATTTGCTCATATGGATCCAAGTATGGCTTTTTGTTTTGTTGATTTGTTTGTTGTATAACACGATTTGCTTGTGTTTAATAATTCTAGCAAATGGTATCGAGCTTAAAATTGCAATTTCATGTTATATACTTTGTGTCGTAATGTTGTTGAGTAGAGATAAAAGATTACATGGGTAATATTTTATTATGTTATGAATGTTTGATTTTCGGAATAAATTATGTTGCATATTTTGTGAATCTGAAATGTATTATGCATGTAACTGGTGTTTTGTGTAAAAGATTACTCTTTTATATGAGTTTTAATGGCCATAAAATGCCTAAAAAAATCGGGTTTTATAAAACCCGTTACCCAATCATTCGGGCCTGTCCCACAACAGGTGAGTACACAACCATTCTAAACTATTGGTTTCGCATTTATTCCCAAAAAATGAGTTTAAACAAAATTATTAGTGTTTATGTAACAAAATATAACACTAATCATTTTTCATAATATTTTATAAATTATAACTCAAGACTTTGTGCGAAATTATTTATTGATAACTTTCAACAAGAATGGTAAATTATGAATTTGCAAGAATATTTTAGGCTATAGTATAAATACTGAAAATATTTGGGCTAATCCATAAATGTTGAAACTATTGGGCTGAATCAAATACCATGAAAGTCTAGGCTGTAACATAAATAACAAAAACAATTTGCTTGAATAAAGTTTGCAGAATTGTTGAAGATTATTTGCTTAAGAGGTTAATGAATTGTTGTGAATATTTTGAGTGTCCAACCCAAAATCCACAACTCTGGTTTATTGCTAGTTCTAAGTAACATGAATCACATTTAGATTTATGAAGCTATTAGCCTTTAAGATAAATAAAGAACAAATTCAAAAAGTGGCCTAAAAAAAAAACTAGATTCTGTTATTTAGATTAAGACCATAGATCTTGCTCTTCGTGTTCTCTACATCTTGTGGTAACTTCTCTCCTTTTTATTAGTAAGGGTTATTAGCCAAATAACACTTTTATTTGAAACTTATATTTATAGGACACTTATAAGATGATGAGATGACATTTAATAGTTCAAAACCGTTAACTTTAATTTTATTAAACGTATTAAGGTAATTTTATGTGTAATATAGTTTCGTACAAAATAAGTTTAAACTACAATAATTTTTTAAAAATAGATCAATAAGAAATGACACGTCTCAAAATAAAAGTAAATGAGGACGTATCAATAGAAAAATGGAAAACTAAGGATTTTTCTTTTGAAACTATAATTTATATTTTAGCTTTAATTTTTTTAATATATATTGCTGTATCTTTTAATTTGTATAATTATATATATTATTTATGAATAAGAAAGAAAAAGACAAGTGTAATATATCAACAATATGTGTAAAACATACTTTTTGTTTTATTTGACAAGTGTAATATATCAATTATATGTGTAAAAATATACTTTCTGTATTATTTATTTTACTAAGGTTTTATTCTTACATTGGAGGCTACTAATACAATAAATGGGGTTAGAAAATCAGTTCCCATCAAGAAATTCCCATTTTCGCAAAGTTTGATCTTTAAAAACAACCTTATAAATTTGTTAATCTCTTAAAAAGGGTTTAATTTGAAAACATACAGTACAAGCAAAATTGAGTTTTAGCAATTCTTCAAGGTTTTTTGGTACCTAATGTTTTTTAATTTCACAACTCAACTTTTTTTTTTTTTTTTTTTTTTTAGAACCGCAGATATTCGATCATTTTGTATGTATTTAACTAATCTTAGAACCTTGAAATAACTTCAATATCTTGCAATGGTCCCTATTATAACACCTGAGAAAATCGACACATCAACTTTTAGACGAAAGAGTTGATATCCATGACCATTGATTTTTAATGAAACCCAAATTGTTGAAAAGAGACAAAATTTACAAACTCTAACTTTGAGAGTCGAAAAGTGAATTTTTCACGAGATAAAATCAAATAATGATATAAATTGCCAAAGACATGATATTGAAAAAGGGAGCAAAGTGGCATAAAATTGAATGGTGTTAATTGGACACATCATGTGATGTCTCCAAGACTTGTTTCTTTTTCAATCTGTTTAATATGCTCCATTTGTGTTTGTCGTTGAGTTGTGTGTGCATAACTTCCACGTGGCCTTGTGACCTCGTCAGATTTCTATTTAGATAGAATGTGAATTGATATAACAATGAATATAAATAACTCCTTACAAGCTTTTCATATAAAATGTATAAAAAAAATAATGGAATAGTGATATAATGAGTTTACTTTTTGTTTCACTCTTCTCATTTTTTGTACCTCACTTTGTATGGTAATTTTTATAATTATATATATTATTGATTTGAATATATATTCTGATTACAAATAATACTCTTACAAACACAAACAAGGGTATACAAAGTGACATGGCAGATGACTTGCAATGCCACATATCTGACACGTTCATCAATGATATAATTTTTATTCTAATTTTCTATTCTTCTTCTCTTTCTTTATTACTTGTTGTTTCAATTTTAATTTTTTTCAATCTTCTTCTCCATCGCTATCTTCTCTTCGTGGCACTTCTCCAGTTCTCTTATCAACTCTTCTCCATCTCCATCGCGCTCTTCTCCCGCCGACAAACCCAACCCTAACCCTAACCACTGAATTATAGAGTCCAGCCCTATTTTCAAACTTATAAAATCTTACGGAGGAACCAAAGAGAGAAGTGAACAGAGTGACTGCCTGGATTCCCCGAAATTCCGTTGCTACCTTTCGAAAAGTGTGATCTCTCAATACGGATCCCAAGTTCTCTTTCAATTGAATTTATGTTAGACTTTGATTCTAATTGTTCTGGAAAGTGCTTTGTTTTGTTCTCATTATCTTACTATCAGTGTCTATTTATATCTTATGTGCATTATTTTTACTTCAACCTTATTTCAGTCATTATTAAGATCATTCATGCGTCTTCTTCTTAGTCGGTGCTCTTATTTTTTTTTTCATTGCATCTATGAATTGCTGATACTGTTACCATTTACACTGTTTCTTAATCTTGTATTGCAATTGGGGCCTCTATTAGTCTTTTAACTCAATGAAGAATCGGTCCAAAATTGCCATATCGCAATGTAGCATACTTGAGACTCTGGATGTACGCTTTTGTCCAAAGGTGAGATTAAACTTGTGTGTATTATTAATGAATTAGTTCTTCATGCGATAGAAGTTTCGTTTATTTATTGTTCATGAGTGATTATTAAACTTTTTGGGAAGTGGTGTGTGGTTTACTGTTTACTTATTTATCTTTTTTAAGTAGGTATGTTCAATGAGTATGGGGAGGTTACATGCAGCATGCCCTAGTTTAAAGCACATCTTCAGCAACATGACGCCTTCATAAAAGATAAAATGATGGAAAATTTTGTTTGTTTTACCATTTTCCAGTGTAGTGGGGTTTATTTCGGTAAGGTGGCAACTAGCTTGATATGTTTGCCGTATGCTTGTCAAGATCTACTATCTATGTTATTGTAAATGGTATCCTCTTTTCTGCTGTTCAGTTTTTTCTTTTTTCTTTGATTTTATTATTGCTTTGTAATAACTTATTTCTACTAGTATATTTAGAAAAAATATATTATGATAAAAGTATATTTATAGCAAATGAAAAATAGATGGGCTAAATTTTTTTCGTTATTAGACATATATTATTCTGTACATAGCAAAATAACATACATATATATAAGCTTTTACAACCGTGGACAGTAATGCCATTTCTCTCCGCTTGTCGACATCCCTTCAACCGCTGCTCACCTATTTCCTGCAAAACATGGGAAACAACGGGGTGAGCACAAAAATGCTGAGTAAGTAAATCCTTAATCTCTTCTATTCCCGCAACTTCTTCTTTGGTTCTTTGCTTACTTAATTCTTTTCTTCTTCATTCTTAGTTCTTTCTCTAGTTCTAATTTTCAGTGCTCTTTCTTTCTTTCTAATTCTCCCTGTTCTTTCTTTCTCTCTGTTCTTTCTTTCTAATTCTTTCTAACCATGAGAGAAGTCATGGTAATATGCATGAATGAAATGCATATGCAATAATGCATAGAAAATGCATTTCTTTCTTCTTTTCGATTTTTTATTCTATTTCTTTTCTTTGCTTGTTCAAGCTTTCTCATTTTTTCTTATTCTTATTCTTTCTTTTCTTTTCTTATTCTTATTCTTTCTTTATTTTCTTTACCGATCGGACTCGGTTGATGCATGGATTCGGAACCCTGGCCATGTGAGTGAGTATAGTCCTCATCTGCATGCACTCTTGCGGACCGTACAAATTCTTTCTTTCTTCTTAGGCCACTCAATTAAGGTGGCGTGTATATAGGAATTCTTCTTGGTACAACCCTCATCCACAAACACTCTTACGGGTCGTACAAATTCTTCTTCTTCTTATGCCACTCAATTAAGGTGGCGTGTATGTGAGAATTTCTTCTTCTTAGCACTCACGGGTTCCCCATCGCAACAACCTATTCTTTTCTCTTTATTCTTATGAATTCTTTATTCTTTCTTTAGATTCTCATGCATATGTAAGTATATGCATATGGATGGCTCATGCTTATGTTTATTTCTTAAGTGCAATTATGCTATGTTGCACAAAAATAAGTTTCTCTACTTATGCATAAGCTTCTCTTAGGCATTTCATCAAACATCATGCATGCATACTTTAATTCTATTTTTGATACATCTCTACTTCTTTCTTTAACTATCCATTCATGGAGCAAAACTCCTCCACAATAAATCTAACATGGCCAAGAAAAACACTTCAAATATTCTACTTAATTTCTTTCTACGTGCAACCAAACTTCACTTGGTTACCACAATCTCAACTCTACTTCTCATGGCTCAACTCTACTTCTCATGGCTCAAATCTACTCATCAAGAGCCATTTATTCATCAATAGTCACATTCTCACCCATCAAATTCAACTCATAAGCACATACATGCATATCAAAGTAGTTGATTGCTTAAATCTTAGCTTGGGTTGGATTTACTTACCTTTGGCTTGAGTAGTTCCACAAGAAACTCTTTATCTTGTTGGACTTGTTCTTCCTCTTAAACCCTAAGCATAAACTTAATAAGAATTCAACATTAACACAACTTAATCTTATGTCTAGAACAAGAATCCTTACCTCTTGATGCTTAGAATCAAATCCTTATAAAAATCCAACCAAAAGCCCTTAATTTC